CACATCCATTGGTTTCAAATTACTAATCAATCTAAGAAAAGTCGCACTGAGGTCAAAACTGAATAGCAGACAAAGAATGTCATGACATCCACAGCGCGTTCACACTCCGATAGCATGTTACGATAGGAGTGTGCGCATCACGATCACACCCCGATACCCATTGCGACTGCGCATCAGTCATGGCGCCACAGTCGGAACATGAAGTCCATATATCGCGATATGCCATACCCCGATAAAACGCCCCCCCTCCATGTCGCGACATGGAGCTCGCATATCGCGATTTGAAAAATGCCCCCCCCCCCGCTCCTATGTCGCGACATGAAGCTCGCATATCGCGATATGAACCCCCCATGTCGCGACATGGAGCCCATATCGCGATATGAAAAATGTCCCCCTCCCCCCCCCCCCCCCCGCCTATGTCGCGACATGAAGCCTCCGTATCCCGATATGACATATCCCGGCAAAAATGCCCCGCCCCATGTCGCGACATTGAAGGCCCTAAATTGGGATATGACATGCCCAGCCAAAACGCCCACCCCCATGTCGTGACATGGAGTCCATATGTTTTAATATGACATACTCTGACAGGATATGTTAACCCCCATGTCGCGACACGTCCAATCTGGGAATATAATGTCATGATATGAGACCTTTGTTGCGACAGCAGTGCCAGGATGGCATGGAAGCAAGGCGCCTGTCGTGATATACACTGCCGCGATATACATGCGATATACATGGGGTCCCTATCATGACATGCTGCCGAGTTCTTGACGTGATGGTATCCCACAGTTACGCGCTTGGCAACAGCGTGTCACGGTACGGAAAGAAAAGGAAAACGTGCCTTAGAGAATAAAAAGCATAGATCTTACAATCACGGTGATTTTACGTATATTACAACCACAGGCTTATGTCATAGATGGTTAACTTGTTGGCATGCGTCAAGTCTTAGTATTATTCACATGTATGGAGACTCATTTGTTTATGGATATTGTCTTTAAAATGGTAAAGGTACGAGCTTAACTGTAACAGAGCGCTTGAACTCGGCAGGCGGGGTCACTGGAGGTCAAAGTCATCATGCATGGTCATGTGCTCTCCGGGAAAACAAGGCGCTATATCTCGGGAACGAAAGCAGCAAACGTAACACGAATGAGACCGGTTTGGTTTCCCTACGACATTGTACGGAGACTGAGTGACGTGAGTGCGCACAGACGCTACTTTCAACGACACAAATCGGCACAAACATAGCACGAACGAATGAGATGGTTTTAATCGTTTTTTCTGTCTGCAACTTCACGGAGCTTTTACCTTGCCTTTAAATATTCAGCGGACTTGAGCATAAATATACCAGAAGAACGTGCACGCACGTATGGGTTTCAGAGGCTGGAGTAAATGCACCGCCCCAAGGGTAATATCGAGTGAGGCGCCATGAGAATACAAACTGCAAGTTACTAAAAAATTAAGTTCTGAAGATCTTGTTTGATCCTTCATGATGCTGTTAAACTTGTATGAAACCAACGACTTAAGTATTCTATTTTCGATGCCAGAAGACACCTAATTTGGAAATTCATGACTTCCCAGAAGACTTAACACTAAACTGTTATAGTCGCACTACAGTGCTAAGCAATTCATCGTACCTTTAATTGCAAGAATGGTCTGCTAATAAAAGTGTCAAAGACATACTTTGGATGTATTTTAGTTCTGTAAACGTCGTTCAATTAAAAATACTGCAGGGCATTTAGAGGCGATCTGAATAGTTATCTGTAAAATGCACACTCACATCTATCCGTCAATATTATCTTAATGTTATTCATGCATTCCAAAACTTGTAATTTGTTTACCGGATGAATTTTAGAATCTCTCCGTGCTCAACTCCTACAAGCAAACGTGTGCACGTTGTATCCGAGAAGCCAGGATGTACTCCTTAAAGCCCAAGATGCCTGTAGCATCTCATGTGTCTTATTTGTTACGGGACTGTTCTGGTCACCTACAGGCGGTTTTTGAAAAACGTAGATACATGCCTTTGTTTTGCCATGTCGGTTAATAAACCAAAACCTAGCGCTAGATAGCTCAAAGAGAGTCTGACGATAATGATATCGAAGTAGGCTAAGGCGAAATAGCTTTGTTGGTCACAAAAGATACAGCGAGCCAATAGCAAATCACATCAAATGAAAAAAAAAAGCGAACATGTAACATTGAAAAGAAAATCATGTAACGCAAACATGGGGAAAAAAAACTTAAATTACCTTGGACTGATTGGGTAGGCCTAGGGTCAACCCAGGCTACTTCCCTGATTCAGACTACGGACTGCGCACCGACTTCCCGTTTTGGACTTCGGACTTGGTTGCTTCGGCATCCCCCCGTGCACCTGATCACTACAGTTACTGCCCC